ACTCTACATGAGGGAGTTGGGTGTCAGACCAATCGTCAGCTTTTACCAGTCTCTTTACCATTGGACCTAAAGCTCTAGCCTCGTGACCAGGGTGTACAGCCAAGGTGATGTGTGGGACAGCAGAGGAAGACATGTAATACCACTCACACTGTTCAGGAAGCAGCCGTGTATGGGCCGCCACACCCTCAGGCCCAATATAAATGTAATCTGATTCTAATGTCCACCTATCACTTTCAATTTGTTTGAATTGTTCTCTGTACATTAAGTCTTGGTCTCTGTCATAGAATAATGTCAAGTGGGCAGGGTCCAGTGGGAGGTGGTAGGAGGCCAAAGAATTTATCCAGGGTTTCCACTTGAAGAAGACGGAATGCACACCATTATTGTCCGTGGACTTGTTTTCTGGGTCCAGTCTCACCCAGTATATGTCTGCATACTGGTCTGGCATCTCTTCTCTCAGAAGCCAGCAGGAGTCCATCGATACACCGGTCACACATCTGTAAATTTGTCCCCCTGGAAAAGTCACTTGTAGACCATCCGGTCCACATAGAATTGACGCATTGGTTTTAGTCAATAAGTCTCTTCCCAGCAGGTTGACAGGTGTTTTAGGAGCATTTACAAAAGAATGCCACAGTGTCTGTGTTCCAATTTGTGTCTTTAAACGTTTAGTGAGTGGCAGTACCTCAGGTGTCCCAGAAAATCCAACCAGGGTGATGTGCTCCTCAGAGAGCAGGACAGGGCGTATCTTTGTATTGATGGTAGAGTAGGTGGCGCCAGTGTCCACCAGGGCCATCAGGTTGTCGTCCTCCACCCTTATGGGGAGCATAGGCTCTGCTGGTACCTTGTCCCCTGGATTTCCTAGGCAGCCCTAGTAAGATTGTTCATGTTCATACTCGCCCCAGTAGTTCCCATGCTGGAAATATTGTCCATCTCTCGGGGCCAGGTTGTCATTCGGAGCCGTCCATGGGGAGGGAGGGCCTGCGCGCTCTGGTCTGGGTCCCATGCCTCTCTGGGGGCCCCTCCCACGCACCATCTCAGGCGCTCCATGGTAGTAGGAGGCCTCTCCTTCAAAGGGGCAGTCCCTCGCCCAGTGACCGTGCCTGTAACAGAGGTGACACACATCCCTGCCCCCTTTCCAGCTTCCACCCCTTCTTCCTCCCCGGCCCCCACGCCCACCACCTCTGGCCCCTCCCCTTGTCCAGTCCTGTCGTGGTGGAGTGGGAAGTCCAGCAGGCATATTAGTCATCTGATTACTGGTTCCTTTTTTATTTTGGGTGGCTTTATTTCTCGCTTCACTAAGCTGTAACTTCAAAAGTTGACAAGTCATATCTTCAACACTCTTTCTTTCTTTAGTTTTATTTTCAACATATCGCTTAATGTGAAAGATTAAATTTGTTTTCCACTGTGCTGAATCCGGGTTAATATTATCTGGGTTGTCTTCAATCTTTGAGCGTATTGTTTCTGGTAAACCATTCAAAATAGCTGCTCTAAAAGGCATGACTTCACTGACCTTGTGAGGGTGTCTTCCTACTGTGTCCATCCACTTGGTCACACTCCTGTCATAAAATACAATTGGGTCCTCAGACTCCAGCCAAGTTAACTCACGAGGGGCAGAAGACAGCGGAGTTGGAAAGTTTTCCCTCAGTGCTTCATACCAGGCATTTGCATACTGGCCAAATCTGGAAGAATCACAAACATCAGCAGTACCAGCTTGTCTTTCAATAGCATCTCTCTCCCATGGTTTACTGCATGCTGCCATCACTGCCCGGACGTCACCCATCGCGACATCATGACCTGTAAACCATGTGTTCAGACTGGAAATCCAGTTTCCAGCTCCCTGACACAATGGAGGCATTTTGTCTTTTATAGTCTGCATGTCACTTACAGAAAAAGGATGGTACTCCCCAGCTGCGCCTCGTCCTGGTCTCAGAGGGAACATGGATTTTGTCTGAGACCTGGTTCTGCTTGCCACCGGTCTAGTTTCTCCAGGCTCCCGGTCTCCGTCATCACTACTATCGTCAGAAGAGAATTTAGCTCCTTTTTTAGCCTGTTTAGCTTTAAGTATTGGCTGGGCCATGGCACCGTCTCCCTTTTCATTTTCACTGTCCGTCCTAGTCATGGCTCTGCGTGCGGCTTTATTAATTAATTTTGCATTCTCCTGTCTAGCGGTCTCGTAATCATGGGTCCTACTTGGGGTTTCTTCTCCCTCAACTCTGTCTGTGGTGCATTCAGAGGTCGGTTTCCTAGCTCTAATATTTCTGAGAGAGTGCAGGAGCAGCTCCTGCACCTCTTGGATGGGTGGGGGTTGGTGAGGGGTGTGTGGGAGCTGTGGCGGGAGGCTGACAGCTGGATTTTGACTCGGATCTCTATTGTCCCCCACAGACTCCTCTTCTGTCCCTTCGTCAAATTCACTGTCTACAAAGTCATTGTCCCCTCTCTTTCCTACCGCCACTTCTCCTGAAAATGTATATTGTGGCAATATTAGATTTGGCTTACCTGGTTCTAAACCTAGAGAATATTTTGGTGGAGCCGTGGGTAGGGATGGGTATATATTACTCACCGGCATTGCTCCGTTTTCTGTTTCCTTGTCTTTACTTACCATCGGTAATTTTGCCAACGCCGTGGCAGCCAAAGCAAAATTATGTACCTTGGTCCTCAGTTTCTCAGCCTTTTTTAGTTCCTTCTTAATTTTTCTACGCTCATTCCAACTCTCTCCCTGCTTTCCCTCAAGCTCAAGTTTATGCTGTTTTAAATTATTTTCCTCTTCCCGCAATATCTTAGCCAATGCGGACGCTGTCATATACTCAGGTATGACCCTTTTGTTCTGTATTTTTTCCCATGCTTTCACAGCCTTTCGTTTTGCCTTGTTCCTATATTTTTTATCCAGACCACTCAGAATCTGAGCCTCTATTTCTCTATATAGCTGCTCGATTGGAATGCCTGTCTCCATTTTTCGGGGGGGCCCAAAATTCCCCCAGGTTCCAATGGTGAAAACCTAACTTGTGTGTTGACGCGTCCGTCAACCACGCTAGTCACAGCGGGCTTTCCTGTTTCTGGCAAGGCTTCTCAAAAAATCTTTACTTTTAATGTATTCTCGCAGGGTTCTAGCTACTTAGACTCCTATTTTATTTAATTTTAACGTATTTTCGCAAGGCTCTCACTACTTTTTAGGCTTTTACTATTTTTACTTTTTGAATTAGCTCCTCCGTGGACAAAACTTCTCTCCCCTTAATTTGTGTAGTCCAATATGCAGATTTTTAATTAGTCAAAAGGTATCTGCTTACCTTCAGTTCAGCGGCCGCTTTGAGGAGAGACGCAGAGTCCAAGGGAGAGTTGAAAAGTCATCAAAGGGATCACGTCGAGGGTCACCAATTATTATATTAAAAAATGACGTGTTCAAAATCCCTTATAAAGATGACCATGATTCAGAAAGTTAAATTCAAAAAGGTTTATTTCCCTAATACAAAAAGAATCTAAAACAGCTGTCCGGACCAAAAAGTATCTAATCCCTATCCTCTATATAAGGTGTAACATTGGTTGGGCGCTCCACCAAGTCACACAGCTAAACCCTGATCCGGACTGAAAAAACTAACACACACATTCAAGCTATTCATTAAGTAAATGTGCAAGGGGAAGAAGGGGCGTGTCGTATCAGTCAGCTCTTGGTCCAGGGTCCGGCCTCCATCAGGTCTTCTCCGTCTCGCCAGACCTAAACAGAAATCATTCACGCACTACCCCTCCCTAATTCTATAGATTTATTAGTTCCTTTGAGATAAGGCAGAGGGATCTCAAGGCTTCTCCTCCAGATTCTGGACTCCATCTCCTTCTTTCACAACTTGAAAGGATTAGCAGAATCCCCCCAGATTAACTATCATTAACTCACCCATGCACTTTGGACAAAATGGGACAAGGGGAGTAGGGCAATACAAGGTCTTTCTTTTTGCTTGGAGACAGACAGAGTTCAATTTCAGGTCAATCTAATTCACATCGCCTTTTAGCCTATATTTAATACAACAGCAGACGTACGCGCAAGACGCTCAAAACAGGAAGAGCGAGCTGCGCTCGGTTTGCCGGGTTGGAGTTTGGTTGGGAGACGGATACTGAATGGAAACTTTATGGAGTGCAAAACTATGGACGGGAATGGTTAACCAGAGGCCTAGTGTGCACCCAAGACAACTGGGATGAATGAATGAACCAGGATGGAAACGGAGCGGACTGACAAGGGACGGGATCGACAACCAGGTAAGTGAGTTACGAGGTATGTTACATTTTAGTGATTGACGAACCAATAGACTCTAAAACATTAATAAAAAAGCCGACCACCGTGTGTGGCGGGGGGTGGTGGGTGAGAGCGTGCGGACGGGAGAGACTGCTCTGGGCTTTGACGGAGGCTGCCCCGTCACAGGGAAACACAATAGTTCCACAACACAGACTTGGAAATACAACTGCAAATGGAGCCCCCTGCTGGAGGAATATGGGAACAGCACTATTCTCTCCTCTCTTCTACTTGATCTACTGTAGTCTTAATGTTCATTGCTATTCACCTGCTGTCCCATTGTCTGATTTACTGCTCGACAATGGGACCCAGATCACTAAACAATGAACACACAGTGCCCTCTTCTGCCTGAATTGTGCAATGACACAAATGTATTAAACATGTTACTGACGTTTTAAATCACAACAGAAACTTACACTAACACAATGTAACGATGCTGATCTCCTGAACCTGAGTTCTTCTCTGAGAGGGCGACCGTGGCTCCTTTAGTAGAGCATTGGTCTTCGGGTCTGACGGTTGTGGGTTTGATCTCTCCAAGAGACATACAGTACTTCAATGATGATGTCAACTGTTATTGTGCCTCTGGGCCAGACGCTTAATCCCACTCAGGATCAGAGAGGACCACCACCTGCAGGAGGATCAGAGAGGACCACCTCCTGCAGGAGGATCAGAGAGGAGACCACCACCTGCAGGAGGATCAGAAAGGAGACCACCACCTGCAGGAGGATCAGAGAAGACCACCACCTGCAGGAGGATCAGAGAAGACCACCACCTGCAGGAGGATCAGAGAGGAGACCACCACCTGCAGGAGGATCGGAGAAGAGACCACCTGCAGGAGGATCAGAGAGGAGACCACCTGCAGGAGGATCAGAGAGGAGACCACCACCTGCAGAGAGGAGACCACCACCTGCAGGAGGATCAGAGAGGAGACCACCACCTGCAGGAGGATCAGAGAGGAGACCACCTGCAGGAGGATCAGAGAGGAGACCACTTGCAGGAGGAGACCACCACCTGCAGGGGGATAGGAGAAGAGACCACCTGCAGGAGGATCAGAGAAGAGACCACCTGCAGGAGGACACCACTCCCCAGACCCAGAAACAGATGAAGGGAATGAAAATGGAGGCGCAGAGAAGGAAACACCAGTTCATTCTCAGTGACCAGACACTCCTGTGCTCTGACGTCTGTTGGGGTACTTGGGTCCAGACACACCGTGGACCTGCTGTTGAAGAACTTTAGGAACCACAGAAGTACATACATTTTAAGTTCACAAAAAGTTGCGCATTGTTGGTTTAACAAAAGTCGTGAATTTTAAATAGACAAACGGCTCAATACAGCGTTATACAAGTGCAGAACAGAACTTAACAGTCCTTGAAACATCAAAGAATTCAGATGCAGCAGATAACAGTGACATGGGTCTAATACCGTTACTGTGGTTATTGTGACTCCCCCTGCTCTCTCTCTCTCTCTCTGTCTATAAACCTTTCACACTGTAGCATCAGCGAGATTATCTCCAAACGCTGTCAATACTCAAGAGACTTCATTTCCACTATGACTCTTCACCAGATTGTACTTGTCGCCTCTTGTAAGTATTTAAATCTGACTTAAGTCCATTTTGACGCAGGCGTTTTCTTCTTAATGTTCGCTGTGGTTTATCATTGACCTTTATTTCAGGCCTCATTCAGTTGGTTTGTCTACGGTTTGTGGTCTTCGCTGGTGCATACTTTATTACTTTAATTTTCTCTTGAATGGGTTTTTATGTGACCTGGATCAATTTTCATCTTAGTCAAAAGTAAAAAGATTTGATTCTATACTCTCCCAATTTTCAAAGTTTCACCTCTACATGTATTGTCCTTGTATATATTATGGTATTGTATTTATTTTATGTTGTTTTTTGTGTCCTGTAGTTTTAAAATTAAGACCAATTCAGCGATGACCACGCCCGTAGACCAACCATGCATACAAATGTATGTATTTATTTATTTAAAAAGGGACAGTGTACAATTAGAACATAAATGCCTCCATTTGATGCATTGTACCGGAGTTAGCCTTAGGCTAATTTGCATCCGTAGTCCCCCGGCAGGGAAGAACACTCCACATACAGGTGGGTATAAAATAACACAAGCACATACCATAAAATATACATTTGTATACAGTCAGCAGATACACACAGAGCAGACGCACAAACGCACAATTACAGACGTATTCCCACACACAAGCGCACAATTACACACAGTTACACACGCACACAAACACACAGTTCAAGTTAGCGTCTAGAGTAACCCCAAGATACCTGTATTCAGCAACATTTTCAATCTTCTGGTTCCTAATGTAAATGTCAGAGTTTGTATTTTGTGCTTTGGTTTTTTGAAAAAACATGGCCTTTGTTTTACTAATGTTAAGGCAAAGACAGGATTGATCGAGCAATTGAGCCACAGCCTCAAGGGCTCTGGAGAGTTTTTCGGCCGCTACGTGATTGGTGCTGGCATAGGTATATATTACGGTATCATCTGCGTATAGTTGAATTTGTAAACCCAGGCAGTGATGTGGCAGGTCATTTATATAAAGGCTGAAAAGTAAGGGGCCAAGTACAGACCCTTGGGGTACTCCCATGGTAGATTTCAGGTAACCTGAGAAGCCATCCTTTACCCTAACACACTGTGTCCTATCTGATAGGTATGACCGCATCCATTTTAGAGTTTTGCCAGAGAAACCAAAAACTGACAATTTAGATAGGAGTATGTTATGATTAACTAAATCAAAAGCCTTGCCTAAGTCTAAAAAGACTGCTCCAACTCCAACTTTGTCGAGACTTGATCTTATTTGTTCAGTCAGCTGGAGTGTGGCGGTCTCAGTAGAGAAGTTCCTACGAAACCCAAACTGAAGTGGGTGAAGGCCATCAGTTATTGAATTCAGATGTGTAGTCATTTGTTCATATATAACTTTTTCAGCAATTTTTGATATAACTGGCAGAATACTTATAGGTCTATAGTTATTTGGGTCAAAGTGGTCTCCAGCTTTATGAATTGGAGTAATGACAGCCATTTTCCAGCTTGCCGGAACAGTACTGCATGTAAATAGAAAGATTGATCAAATGAGTAATGGGAGCTATCAATGAATCAGTGTGTTTTTTTACTAAGGAGTTGTCTAGCCTATGAGTATCTTTAGATTTAGAGTTTTTTAGAGAAGTAATTATTTTCTTGACCAGTTCTTCACTAACAATTTGGAAGTCGTAACCTTGATTTGACATGGTTTCATCAGAGAAAAGAGGATGAGCAAAATGTTTGCCAATTTCAAGAACTGAGTCTATAAAATAAGAATTAAGGGTGGTGGCTATGCTCAGGTTATCTTCAATTAGCTTACCATGTACTTTTAGTTTGAGTTCTCTTTTGCTGTGTTTATCTTTCCCCATTAAGTAATTAATATTATTCCATATTGCAATACTATTGCCTTTGGCCTCTTCCAAAATTCTAAGAAAGAATTGTGATTTAGCAATTCGCATGTCTTTTATTACTTTATTACGAAGACTTCTGAACAACAACCAGTCAGTGTCTCTACTGAATTTAGCAGCTTTCTTTAAAACAGAGTCCCTTTTTTTCATTAACTGCCACAGAGTATCATTGAACCATGGCAAGTTGATTTTTTAACTCCTTTTCTTGTTTGTTTTGACTGTGTATCTGTCAATAATGACATTAAGTTTAGACATGAAGGACTGTGAGGCAGACTCCAGATTGTCACACGATAGTATATCCATCCAGTTTAAGTTTTTTATTTCATGATCTAACAAGGCTTTATTTCCTGGTGGAATGCTATATATAGGAAGAGTGTGATCTACCCTATTTTTGAACCTATTTTTAGTCAGTTTTCTGGCCATCATAGTCAAGTTATGATCAAATAGGCCAGTAATGAAGTTGTAACATTTAGTTACCCTTTCAGGTCTGTTGGAAAACATCAAATCAATTTGCGTACTAGAGTGTTTGGCAATTCTTGTTGGGCCCTCAACCAATTGTTCAAAGATGTATTTGTCAGCGATGGTTTTGAGTTTTTTTCTCTATACCTTGTCTTCCCAGTTAATATTGAAGTCTCCCATAATAACTACTTCTTTGTTGCTACACTCTTTAAGAGCAGAAGTGAGACTGTCATAAAATGTGTCTTTAGCATTTGGGGGTCTGTAGAGGCCAATTAAAACAAGACATTCGTGGTGATAGAGATACGTTCGCTGCGATATATTCCATGTCATTTACGCCCTTCAGGTAACAGCGGTGGCAAATGATGGAGTCTTTGACGTACAGCAAGACCCCGCCCCCTTTGCCTTCAGGTCTATCTCGCCGAAAGGACTGATATCCCGGAATGGTGAAAATCACCTCCGGGGTGGTTTGCTGCATCCACGTTTCCGAAATGCAACAAAAATCTAGATTAGAACTTGATAACATATATTTAAGTTGATCCGCTTTAGAAACCAACCTCCTAATGTTTATGTGGCCGCCGAAAAGTCCTTTCGGTTTGAGTTTACGATCCCAAATAACTCGTGCATGGAACATGCGTCGCGATCTGTGCTTCAGAACTGCGGTGTTTTGCTTCACGGAACCAGCGGGAGGACTGTGTGTACTGAGCTGATCGCTGTTTGGAGGCGCACGTGGGACTTGAAGGAGGATGTTTGGATGCGGAAAATCGACACTCGCCTCCATGGATGTAGACTCATTCCCGTATGGAGGAAGCAGTGATGGAGGAAGCAGTGATGGAGTCCGCGTTACTGGTCCTGGATTTAGATGGATATCTCCTGACAACAGCAACAAAATCAACAGACCCCATGTCTTTCTGGATAACGAGGTAAGTTTCCGCTGCTCGGTGCTTGTCTGTTTACGTGCACTTATAGGTGTAGCGTAGCCGTCACGCAAAACAGAAGAGTAGATTGCAAAGAGACTGAATAGGTGGAGATCCCTGTTGGTAGGTGAAGTATGCTGGTCCTTTCCTTGTGTGCAGTCAGCCCGTAACCACCTGAACAGGTGGACACGCAGTGGTATCGCAGCTGCTACCAGTAGCATAAGGATGAAAAGTCCACCATCCCAAGACATCCATTTGTCGCGTTTACAGGGGATCAGACCCTTAGGTCGAGATACTGGAACCACCAGGTTCATATTTTGGAATGATGCGTGGTTTTCATGATGTTTGCAAAAAAGTGGACCAGCAGTCCCTGCCAAGCTGCGCTTCCACGTCGCCATCTTCCTTCAATCTACAACAGGCAGATTGAAATAGCCTTAGATTGTTTTGTAATAATTGAATCATTTCTACGTCCCAGGCCTCGTCTTGCTCACAAACGGCCAGTTCTCGGTCGTGGAAGTCCCACTCGGTTCTGACGTGACTCTCCAGTGCACCAAACCCTCAAACCTGGAACTGAGTCGACGTAAATTTTGGTTCCACGCAAATCAACGCAACACGACTCTGATCTGTTCAATGTTTGACGCAAACGGCAAGGTTACTTTCAACGCCACAGAGACAAACAAACGGGAGAAATATACGATGGAAATAAACGATTCACAGGTTTATCTGACCGTCAGAACCGTGGAGATGGACGACTTTGGTCTGTACTTCTGTGGGGACCAGCTCAACAAGAGAACTGTGCTTGTAAAAATCTTACCTTTAACAATCCAAGGTAAGACGTCTTTAAGTTCAAATAGATTCATCAACTCTAATGTGTAGACAACATAAGATGAAGATGAAGAGATCCTTTAATGATGCATCAGCAGTACTTAGAATAAACTTTTCTCGAATACTGCAGAAATAATTGTCCTTGTTTAAACACATACAGACAGTTAATGTAACGGTATTGTGTTTAAATACATCAGTTAACAGGTAGCACATGTGGCCCCTAGTAGATAACAGTGAAGTTTTTTGAAAAAGCTGTTGTACTGAAGGACTTATCATTTTGCTCATATGCTGTCTGTTTGTGCTGCTTTCCCCGTTGTGGTGTAACACATCAGCAGTAGGAATGAGGAGCACACAGCACAAGATAAATGAAAAATAACTTTATACTAACATAGAATAAAATCTCTAGTTTTAGCATAATAAAGAAGCTAGTATAAAATGTCTAGCTTTAGCATAATAAAGAGGCAAGTATACAATCTCGTGGTTCTAAATTGCAAAAAAATATTCTAATAATTGTACAAATACACAACAAGTACTCTGACATTGCAGGGCTGGCCTGAGGGGCCATGGGTTCTTGTGGGTTTATTATAGATCCATTCTCTGTGACTATCTCTGTAATGCGTAAAACACACTCAAATGTTGCTATGGTTTTGGTTTATTGTATGAAGGTTATTTTGTGTTTTTATTATCAACAGGTTTTTTTGCTTTTGAATTCGCTAAACTGTAACAAAAACGTATTCAGTGTAAATAAATTCAATGTTTTAAAATTCAGTGTCCAAAAATTCATTGCATTTTTTTTCGCTGCTTGAACTGTCATGCTTGATTTCCGGGTAAATCAAGACAGAAGCAATCGATCAGCCAATCCTCCATAGATGTAGCCAGGGCCAGAACATGACTTTGGCTTTATCCGAATTTCCACACTATACCGTATTCACTCACTCACTACATAGTGCGGGACTATATAGTGAGTGAATGACAGAGTGCTGTTGTACGTGAGCATCCCGCAGTAGCATGGATCACAGAGCGGAGAGAGGAGCGGCCATGACAAGGTAAAGGTAAAAGTTGAATACAATTACAATACACAATACAATTTATTCTTGTATAGCCCTAGGTCACAACAGAAGTCATCTCAGAGGACTTAACCCTTTAAGCGCCAAAGTCGCAATATTGCGACAAGCAACATTGCTCACTTAAACAGGCTGTATCTAAAAATGTGGTGCAGAATCTTGTTAATACTTTTCACCAGGGGTTAGTGGACATGTGTGCCTGTAATATGAGCAACATTTGTGGGTGTGGTTATATTGAAAGTTTTTGAGTAAATTGAGTTCGTAAAACACCTGCGGCGCAGCGGCGCGGAGGCGAAGCAGCAGCGGTAGAGCTGAGAGGAGCGAGAGCAGAGCAGAAGGAGAGAGTGTTTTTTATTTACTCACGAGGTCTTCAGTACCAGAGAAGTACTTGGTCTGGTACTGGCTCACTCAGATTCAGAGGAGGAAGACACACAGGTGTCCAGTGAAGCAGACACGGACATTATTAGTGACGGGGAGACCGCGCCATATAGTCCACAATCAGCCCCTGTACAGCGGCTGCTTGTCCTCCGTGTGGCCGCGGTAGAAGCATTCTGTGAACGCCAAGCAGGGGCCGTGGTGGAGGGGACAGGGGGATCATAACACCGGGCATGTGGGAGAAAGTAGTGGGGGTAGACATCCACGGGGAACACGGGAGACGCGGGAGAAGTCGCGGGAGAGCCGCGGGAAAAAAACACATCGCTAATCGCGTTCACTGCCTTTACCAACAGTGATGATGAGGATGAAGGCAGTTCTTGAGAGAAAATAATCCACAAAAGTGGATCAGAAGTGTTGAAGAGCCTGTTGTATGTTGTTGAGACGATCTGACAAGTTCTGAGCCCATTCATTTCATCTCTCTGTTTCTAAACGGTAAAACCTGGAGCCTCATTTCCACTGAGAAAAATAGTAAGCCCACTACTTCTCTGAAAGGGAAATATTGAAACCAATCTCAAGATTTCATGACTGTAAACTATAAAGAGTGCTGTCTTGATCACTGAAGGTCTTTGAAAATAATACAATTCCATATGGCCGCGAACCAGTGCTAAAACATTATCTATAATCTGGATCAGGGAATTTATTTCTATCCCAAATTCATTTCATACTAAAGATATTTCACATTGACTGTTTATAGTATTCCCTGATCTCAAATAACTCCCAAGCTACAGCTTTTTGAAGTCTTTATACAATAATTAACATTTTCCAAAATGGCCGCCACCTTGATGACGTCACAATATGCAAATTAGATGACGAATCAACTTCCATCCCAAAGTTTGGTTCAAACTGAAGATATTTCTAATTTACAGTATGCCTTTATCTCAAACCATTTTAAAGTTATAGCCTTTTGAAATCTTGAAATCAAAATTGTATATTTTCTTGAAAAAACTCTGGCGCCTAAAGGGTTAACAAAACCATTGAAATCACCAACACAGGTCAGAGAATCAACAGTTAAAACACATGAAAAATATAAAGCACACACAGAAGAAAATGTCCATACATGTTGTAGAATGCTAAAGTGTCCTGATCATCACCAATCCTTTCGGTTGGACACTAACTGTCCAACAAGACCCTCCTGCATCGACCCAGGAAAAACTCTTAAAAAACCCAGTGGGAAATTTACGTTTTAATTAGGACAACATTTAATTGTATTAACATTGGAGGTGGGAAATGGCCCCTTCTATTGTCATATCAGAGGTCTGTTTGGTGATTAAACATATTTTCTTTGGACTTTTTCTCCAGCCTTGAGCTCCGGTGCTAACACGCTAACCACGGGTGTAGAGCTGCGCTGATGCCCAGAGTCATTTTGAGAGCTCCCTTATGCTAACAGTCTTAATTCTGGAAGTAATTATGAAAACCCAAAAAGGCGGCTTTTGTATCATACTTTCTTTGTTATAACAAATGTTTCAAGAGTAATCATTAGTCTTAGAAATGTGATATTTCATGTAAATAATGCATGTGTTTAGTGCGATTGATGGATTTGCTATGGCCGTCGTTTGTGCATCACTTTGTTGTAAAGTAATTTGTATTAAAGTGTCTGGAGTTTGTCAGAAAAAGGGACAGAGGTACTTGATTTGAAAAAAACAACCCAAGCTCCCTCCCCCTTCCTTTCTGATTGATCTACACCTACGTTTCCGTAACACTTTGAAATGTTAATCAGAGAACACATTATACATATACATTATTAATACACATGCACAGAGGTTTTCAGAATTATTTGTTAACGTTTTCATGAAAATCATGTTTTAACATAAACGATCGCGGCTAACCCAGAAGAAGCTATTATCACATTATAGAACACATCTGCAGAGGATCTGATTATGGATATAGGTTTAGTAGATAAATAGGTAACTCAGCGCGGATGTTCAGAATTCTTTGTTCAGTTTTCATGTAGTTCCAGAGCCTAATAGAGGCTTGATTCGGAGGCTCCGCAAAAACAAACAACTGAGCATGCGCGCAGCTGCGAGCATCAGCACCGATGATTGACAGCCCTTGGCATGACTCGATTGGTTAACCTCGACGGCACCGTGGATTCTGAACTATAGCTAAGAGAAGGGAAGGCGGGACTTGCCCGTAATATTAGAATTAATAAAATGACTTATATTATATCAACATTTAAGGCCAGGAGGTCAATTTTACACATTTCCTAAAATTTGTAATTAATTTAGAGTTACAGACTATCACTTTAAGTGTAAATGTGATAATGTGCATTTACTGATGACAGGGGGACATCTGTGAACATGAAGCTTGACACAGAAGGCGCGTGGACTTGAACTTACGGACCAGATTTAAGGTCATGAGTACTTACTTTTTGAGCACAAGCTCCTTGCCGCTTGAAATCCAACAGACCTAATCATGTCAGAGTTAATGGCTTAAATGTATTTAAGATTAGAAGTACTTAAATAAAAGCTATGAAACATGTTTCTCACTGATTGTGTGGTTGAATAAAACAAACACAAATATCACTTTTCATTGCAGACAAAGAACTAAATCATAATTATTTTATTTTATTCCAGGTTGTGTTGAGTACAGCGTAAAAAAAGACAGCTGTGTCAGAGGCAGACGTCCAGGCACCTGCTGTTACTGCTGCTGCTGCTGCATATGTCTTCAGAAAATGAGAGTGTGTGTTCTAACTATCCATGACTTGTAATTAATAAACAAATGAAAATATTGGTCGTTGCAGTTTATATTGTAATCCACAGAAACTGGAGGTGATGGAAATGGATGAAGAAATGATGGCCTCTGAAAGACAGCTGCCTCTGGAAAAGAAATTCACACAAAAATCATTAATTTAAAAATACCCGATTCTTCTGGGATAAAAATTAGCCTTTTGCTACAATCAGACATGTCGACATATATGTTCATATACATCCCAGTCAAATTAATTAATACAAATACACAGTAGTAGAGTAGAAACAGACGCTCTGAGGAGGAGCAGAAATACGATGCCTTTACAAACACACACATGAACTTAACATGTCATATCAACAGTAAATGTAAATACATTGCCAGTCTTTAACAGGAGGCTGGTAGAGTGGGATTTACAAAATATATACTCAATTAAAACCATATCTATCAGTCTGATTCCTCTCTGTAGCATTAATACTGAATCCATGGGTTTGTTTTCTCCCTAAAGAACCGATCTTTCATTCCGTCTTGGTTTCACTGAGATGCCATAATTTAAGAATAAAGATAGAATAACTATCGGAGGTCTAGATACGTAAAAATGAACAACATAATTACCAACAACCCCTTAGCATGCTCTGTCTCTAAAACAGTAAGCAGGTTTCGTCCTTGCTGCGCTGCTAGAATAATATACACATTGAAATTGGGAACATAGTACATATGTCACACAAGAACCGCAAACCCCCGTGTACTTGGCTTTCCTGCGTTTCATTTTAGCTTAGCATTAGCGAAGATCAGCTTTGAGGAATCGCCAAAACGTAGAAGCCACCTACGTGGAGCTAGCTAATGATAAGCTAAGGTAAAAACATGTTCAGAAAGTACATACAGTAGTGGTTTGCGTGTTACATACCAACTAATGATGAGAAAACACACTTACTGGTTTGCCGTGAACGCCATGTTCAGATGAACAAGACAGTCATGTTCTGGCCCCGGCTACATCTATGGAGGATTGGCTGATCGATTGCTTTGTTCTTGATTTACCCGGAAATCAAGCATGACGTTTCAAGCAGCGGATAAAAAATGCATTTTTTTATGCACTGAATTTCAAAACATTGAATTTATTTACACTGAATACTTTTTTGTTACAGTTTATAAAATTCAAAAGCAAAAAAAAGTGTTGATAATAAAAACACAAAATAACCTTCATATTGTTGCCCGTTAAACTAAGTGGTTTATAATTGTTGAATTCCCCTGACTCAAAGGAAGGCAGCTGGGGCGTATAACAGTGACCTCTGATCCAACAGCAAATCAGTGTATGTGGAAATTCCTTGGTAACCATGGCTTCCAGCAGCGCTTCGGCCCATCATCGTCAGTTAGAACACTTTAGTACCAGCAGTTGTGTTTTTCACTATTTTCCACTCCATATAACGTATGTATCATGTTTGGCTGTAGACAGAAAAGTGGACTATTGCTAATGTGCTAATGCTACCAGCAAAATGTACATTTAAATATGCTCCAGTGTAAGGGGATGTTAACGACATAATGATAAAGATCATGCGGGGTGAATTCGGGCAAAGTTGGATATTTCATTTAGTCGCTAAAATTGACTGGGAAGAGGGTGCGGGTCAACATCCACTTCGGCAATCCTTAACTTCTCCAAATACCGCTCTTTTTGAGCAATATTTGTACAACTTGTAGAAAAGACAAAACTCTCAAGAACAAGCCTTGTGAATATTTTGACTTTTTGAGAGCTGATTGAGTTATTATAACTTTTAATTATAAATTATAATTATAGCATTTATTATATAAGTTAATAAATGCTTAACTCATAATGAAAACATCTTCAAGTACTTCACTTGTTCATGATTATTTATTAATTTAATAATTATGAAGTAACCATTTGTTACTACATATATAGATCGTTTGTAGCCAGTGTTGTGCGTGAACGAATTCAAAAGAACGCATTCAGTGAATACGCTCATTTTTCCGTAAACGTTGAACTGAACGCAACACATTTTTTGATAAAGAACTTGAACGTGAATTAGTTCACGTTATGTGTCATGAACGGCAGACGATTTTTTTTTCCATTGAAAACTGAGTATCTCCTGTATGTCCGCACTTTTTCCGCCGAAAACTAAAAATTCTCACTGTTTCCACCGTCTGTGAATGTACCCCGACTCCTTGTTGTTGTGCGCTGCTGTATGCTAATGCTTTTCATGGGTTGTATGTGCCCGTGTGTGATGAAAACTGAGGGTGAGTCTTGACACAAGGCCGTTTACATTTGACATAAAGTATAGACAGTCGCACTGCAGCGCATTACTGTTCAGTACTTATGAGCAAAGATGGGACAACTAAGTTTTACAAAACTACTCCTTTACAAGACTGCTCTCATCCTGTGCGATTATATATATACTGTATATATAATATCACGTATAGTGCTCTCATCCTGTGCGATGTACAGGATATATATATATATATATATATAAATATATATATACAGTATATATATATAATATCACGTATAGTGATTTCTAGCTAAATAAGTATTTATTTGAATATCTCAACGAAAAAAGTAAAATGAACTGAACTTTGAACTACCTACTTTGAACTACCTACTTTGAACGTGATCTGTTCACTTTGAGCACTGTTTGTTACACCATGATTAAACCACATGTTTATTAATAATAATAAACCAATACTGCAGTGCATGACTTATTAGTCAGTTACTAACAGTTAGTTAAGAGTTTTTGTGAGATTTTGTAAAGTGTACACTATTTAAACTTTTTTACAAATTTGTTAAAGACCCTTTAGTATGACAATTGGGGCGACAGTAGCTCAGTTGGTAGAGCATTGGCCTTTGGGCTCAAAGGTCGTGGGTTCGAGCCCACCACGGGACCTTCTCCACCGACTCCCACTAATGCCTGCTGTCGTTGTGTCCTTGGGCAAGACACTTAACCCACTTAGCCTATAAGGAGCGCGGATATGATGTTCGCTGCATGCCTTGATGTGTATATATGTATGTACTATATGTGTATGCATCAAACTGAAATTTCCCCATTGTGGGACGAATAAAGGACCTTCTTAATAATGTATTAATACTGCAGTGCATTACTTATTAGTGAGTTACTAACAGTTAAGAGTTTTTGTGAGGAAAAACACAAGGATGACTAACGTTTTTGTATAACAATAAGCCATGAGACATGAATACAGAATCTATATTTATCTTTTAAATTGCAAATGGTTACTTCATAATTATTAAATAATCATGAACAAGTTAACCCTTTAGGCGCCAGAGTTTTTTCAAGAAAATATACAATTTTGATTTCAAGATTTCAAAAGGCTATAACTTTAAAATGGTTTGAGATAAAGGCATACTGTAAATTAGAAATATCTTCCGTTTGAACCAAACTTTGGGATGGAAGTTGATTCGTCATCTAATTTGCATATTGTGACGTCATCAAGGTGGCGGCCATTTTGGAAAATGTTAATTATTGTAGTGGGCTTACTATTTTTCTCCGTGGAAATGAGGCTCCAGGATTTACCGTTTAGAAACAGAGAGATGAAATGAATGGGCTCAGAACTTGTGAGATCGTCTCAACAACATACAACAGGCTCTTCAACACTTCTGGTCCACTTTTGTGGATTATTTTCTCTCAAGAACTGCCTTGATCCTCATGATCGCTGCTGGTAAAGGCAGTGAACGCGATTAGCGATGTGTTTTTTCCCCCGTGTTCCCCGTGGATGTCTACCCCCGCTACTTTCTCCCACATGCCCGGTGTTATGATCGCCCTGTCCCCTCCACCACGGCCCCTGCTTGGCGTTCACAGAATGCTTCTACCGCGGCCACACGGAGGACAAGCAGCCGCTGCACAGGGGCTGATTGTGGACTATATGGCGCGGTCTCCCCGTCACCGATAATGTCCGTGTCTGCTTCGCTGGACACCTGCGTGTCTTCCTCCTCTGAATCTGAGTGAGCCAGTACCAGACCAAGTACTTCTCTGGTACTGAAGACCTCGTGAGTAAAATAAAAACACTCTTTCCCTCTGCTCTGCTCTCGCTCCTCTCAGCTCTACCGCTGCTGCTTCGCCTCCGTGCCGCAAGTGTTTTACGAACTCAATTTACTCAAAAACTTTCAATTTAACCACACCCACAAATGTTGCTCACATCACAGGCACACATGTCCACTAACCCCTGGTGAAAAGTATTAACAAGATTCTGCACCACATTTTTACATACAGCCTGTTTAAGTGAGCAATGCTGCTTGTCGCAATATTGCGACTTTGGCGCTTAAAGGGTTAATTACTCGAAGATCTATTCATGATGAGTTAAGCATTTATTAACTGTATTAGTTAAGTTATTAAGTGTTGGCACTTAATCAATTATGAAAAGTGCATTAATTATGTGTTATTTCAACATCTATTAAGCCTAAATAAGGTGTAGTTTTTATACAGTGTTACCCTTTGTGTGAAAGTGAGGTGGAGGTTAATATGTTGTGTGTGTTGATCAGGGCTCTCTGGCGGCTGCTCGTGTCTTCATGGCCACGTCTCCGAGGAGCAGGCGTCCAAACACACCGGAGCACACACACGTCTTCTACACCGTCATCAAATAAAAGCATGTGGAAAATAAGGCCGAACCATTCATCAAGATTTAAGTTTCTTGATCACATTTAGCAAACCGCAAAGACTGCAATGATTTAAGTTCTTTTCAACGACAAATGCTATACAAGAAAGGCAAAAAACCACTTGGATTTGGAATAAGTCTTTGTATTTATATGTATTTGGAAGTACCTGTTTTTGGTAGAAATGCTATTTTCTTGTTCCAATTGAGACTTCTCATCTTTTTCATCATTTATATTACTAATAAAATATACATAGAGTACGGCTTAAGTCTGATCATAGGAATTTAGTGAGAAAAAATTAAGTATTTGATGTTTGATAAGGCCATGATAATAATAATAATAATAATAATAACAATAATAATAATAATTATTATTATTATTATTATACATCTTATGGAGAGTGGGGGTAGCTGCAGCAAAATGCTTACTCAGCTGTCCTTGAGGTTCAGAAGGTTTGGTCCTCAGGGTTCAGAAGACTCTGACAAGGATCCAGTGAAGTTGCTTAAGGATGGGGTGATATCTCTGAAGCGGGTGTGGGTCATAGGGGTAAGGGGTGTTGGGTCAGAGAGTGTTTGGGCCTCTGTGTATAGGAGACACACACCTATACACCTTGTTCCATATATGCAATTGTTTTACTTTTCTACTTTTGTTTTTCAATAGTTTTTGAGCCCGAAACCGGACCCCACTGGTCCAAGCTTAAAAATCAATGGGCAATGCTTTTCCAACGGTCTTTATGCAGTCTCTGCAAAAATATGGAAAGGACCCCTGGAGGTTTACTTTCCTGAAAAAAGTGTGTTATGTGTCGGAACCATAGACTGTATATATTAACGGACAGAGTCACGCCTATCTCCGCCGTTCTAACTTATGGGCCAAAAAATGTGCTCTACTGGAGCTATCCAAAATGGCAGCGAGTGGTCCCGCCCACAAGAAAATTGTGAAAAAACGCATCTGCGCATGCGTCAGCCGCTGCAGCTCCATTCATTTGAACGAGAGACTTCAAAGATTCACAGCGAGTAAACTAGATTGGACCAAAAAAATCCACCCCCCTCAGCATTGACACACATGTGGAACGGAGCTTTGGGCCAAGAGCCAACTTTTGGTCCATCCTGTAAAGACGTTTTCGAGAGGTCTGCCAACGCTATATGTTAGCATTGGCTGATTCTACTTCTGGGTCCACCCCCATCGGCCCGGGGTGGTATTGCAAGCATGTCAGCGCACGTCATTTTGGCCACTTTTGAGCTGGGACCCGCCCCCACTGGTTGGAACCCTGGTGGTGGAATGCAGGATATCAGGGAAGGGCACACTGGGGCAATTTCAGTCCAGCAGGCTGGAGCCAATCATGGAGCAGCACAACAGAGGAAGTCAGGTGTGTGATGGCAATCTGCTTTTTTTAGAAATACATGTTTCCACTTTTAACCCTGTGATTGCCCTGTGTTCTTTGAAGGCCCACCAAGGAAGAGGGCTAGGAAGAGCCCCACGTCCGTAGAGCCGCCTTCAGAGTGGGAGCGGGAGCTGCTGGAGACTCTACGGGACCAAAGCAGCCACACCGCCCCACAACTCAGAAGAACACAGTTCACTGCTCTCTCTCGGTTCCTCCCTTGCAAAGGGTGGCACCAGAGTCAAGAGAATTTGTTAAATTCAAAATGTATCAACTTCTATATAAAGCAGCAACCGTTCGCTTAATTTGGAACCAATTTGGGCCAGTACAGACTTTTTTTTACCTAAGGGTGACACCTTTTGCAGGGGAGGAAACCAGACATGTGTCCCTTTCCTCTTCACCGCCACCTCCTCCAAGCAAGCTCCTGTTTCATTTGTTTTATATGTACATTTAATTTATAGTTTCATTGTTTGTTCCTTTTTTTATAAAGAAAATATTTTTCAAACCTCATGTGTTCTACTTCAAGCAAACCATTACTACCTTTCATATAATACTGACAAAAATGCTACTTCTATATTTGTACATTTACTTTATAAGAGCTGCTGGGTTTTATAGAAGATAAATAACTAACACTTAAAGAGCAATACATTCGTTGAAAGTATTTTTTTATTCATTCACCTTACTGTTTTAACAAACTTGTAATTACGAAAAGGCTTGAATGGCATATGATTACCTGAAGTTTGGAGTGGAGTCGCAGTGGAGTCTGGCAGTCATTACCTAGAAACAGAAGTATACAGGTGAATAGAATAGTGCCAATCAATTATGGGTTTGGACTATGGCCAAAAAAATGTAAAGAATTTCATATTCAAAGGCTCAGCACATTATATTGTCAGGAATGAAGTTAGGCTCTTTGTATTTTTGTGGGTGGCTCTGAAAAGAGCCGTTGTGGTCAGTCTTGTGGTGGCATGACTACTCTGTGGGCTGCACGGCAGTGCTCCTCCTCACTGCAGTGGCCAAGAACACCTCCATTATTCCACGGCATCTCTGGTCGCGTTGTTGGCGCCCATCCCGCAGCACGCCTGGAAGTGGTTCCTTCCACCGCAGCAGCTCCCGGGGGGGGGGGGGGGGGGGGGGGGGGGGGGGGGGGGGGGGTGGGGGCGCGGGGGGGGGGGGGGGTGGGGGACGGGGGGGGGGGGGGGGGGGGGGGGGGGGGGGGGGGGGGGGGGGGTGGGGGGGGGGAGGGGGGGGGGAGGGGGGTGGGGGGTGGGAGTGTTATGTGCGTCTTGATGCTGGGCGGGTGGTGGGGGGTGGGGCGGGGGGGGGGGGGGGGGGGGGGGGGGGGGGGGGGGGAGGGGGGGGGGGGGGGATGGGGGGGGGCGGGGGGGGGGGGGGGGTGGGGCCAAGCCAGTCCTCATGTAGTTTGGTGAAGGACACAAGTGGCCTTCACACACGTCCCCACAACCTGGGGAGACTTTCCCAGGTGACGGAGAAACACTCTCCACTGCCAGAACCAAATCCCAAATGCATCCTCCACACACTAACCGGGCCCGGGAGAGCCGGTAGTTGAAGGTGCGCTGACTCTGGGGTATGGCCACCAGTCCAGGGAATGGGCGCATTAAAATTGCGGCGCAGTGGAAAGGCCTCAATCTGCCACGAACACATGGGGCGTGGGTCCTCTAGTGGTCCACTCCAGGTTATGCCCAGGTCAGGAGGCAGGTCGAGTGTGCCCTCAGCGCAGAGCTCACCAAAGGCAGAGTTGGCCAGGATGCCCCTTCGCTGGACTGCCGTACCCTCCCACATCAATGACCCTGAACCTGTACTGGGCATCCACTACACCAGGAGCACAAGGGAATGGTGCCCCTTGTAATTAAAGAACATGGAGCCCAGAGTTGGGGGGTGCCTTCACAGCCACATGCTTCCCATCAATGGCCCCACAGCACAGAGGGAAGTTCCATCGACCTCCAAAGTCCTGCGCTATGGGACCTCCACCCTCTGCTCCAGGCACAGCCATGAACTCCTCCACTAGGCAGTCCCAAAGGTGCCACCGACGTCTGGGATGAGCATGGAGACGGTGGATCTGCCCCCCAATCTGAGCTCCCCGCAAATGGTCCTGTAGGAGTCCCCAGTGGCAAGAAACCTGCAATTACAAAATGATATGAACATATTATCACAATAACATTCATAAAAATCACGTGACTAAAAACTTGTGTAGCATAAAATACTTAAAACTAGTAAGACAGTAAACATCATAGGACAGTATCAATGACACCATATTGTTGCATAATACTGTGTTCTGAGTTATTACATTGTGGAATTGGATTGAAAAATGACAAACTTTGTAAAGTATTTAGAATTCCGAATGGGGTAAAAAAACACTAACCGCAGACAGATGTACAAGGCGCTCCTTCAGCCTGGAATCGAGCGCCTGTAGTTGGTGCCTGGTAGGAGATCCCTTGCGCAATGCGGGTCAGTAGGTCGTCAAACTGGGCCAGGGAGAGACGAAAGTACCGCTGAAAGCGACCCTCATCCGAGCGCGCTCCCGGAGACAAATGGTGAAACTCACCAAAACTCCAACCGTCTACGGACTATCTGATGAATCCAGACACTACGTCGATTCGCCCTTTGACGACGTGTCTTGGCTTTATTTTCAATAAAGCAACTCCTTCCCGCTGACATCCATTTTGGGAAGCCTACAGGCAAAGAGACAAGCCCCGCCCCTAAACGCTCTCAAACTCTCTGTAGACAGCGGCTGCCCCTCTAGTGTCCTGGCCGCGCGGCCAAGTTTCTCTTGACAGCGCTGCCACAATTGTCACAACGGCTCAAGCCGCGCGATAGACGCGATTTGGCGCGAGAAATCGCGTTTTGTCTAACGCACCATAAGTGGGAGGCCCGGTCCTTCGTATTTTATTTTAGGTGTCTTCTTGTGCCAGCAACTGGATCAACAGATTCTCCTGTTTGGATTTCAACCCCCTATCTTGGCCCTGCTGACTCTGCACTTTTCAACCTCACTCCATCAGAGTCTGGCAACGAGGAAAAGCTGGACCCTAGACCGGAAGCTGGCTGAAAGACACTCCCCAGCCCTTCCTGTTCTTTATATATGCTCTGGCATGGGGAGACACAGCAGGATGAGACGAGGGCCATAGAGGGACATGGGATAACTTTTTAAAGGAGCTCTCTTTTGTTGAATTTATTTCCTGTATCTGATTGTAAAGATAAATTAAATGCAGATGTTAAACTTGGGAGAACTTTTTGGCTGATTTCTGTATCAAATTGTGGACACCGTCAGTCACAAAGGAATTATTGCTACATTTTGTGACCCGAGACGTGATTTGATACGAAAAGAAGACGCAAGTTGAGCTCAGATAGATAGACTGGGTCTGTTGGGTCCCATTGGGGCGCTCTACTGCAAAACACAGGTAACAGATACCATTTTTCTAAAACTGCCACATTGTTTAAATAGAAGACAGAGAGATCTCGGCCCAGCAAAGCCCAGAAATTCTCTGCAATTCCTTGCGACTACCAGGAACAGGCCAGTTTTATCTGGACGTTTAGCGCTCACCTTGTCAGGATGCGCTCACCATGCTCACCTCCCCCTCAGCCACCACATACCCCAGGAAGGACACTGTAGACTGGTGGAACTCACACTTTTCCGCCTTCACAAACAGCTGGTTGTCCAGATCAGACGTTGGAGAACACGGCGGACATGCTCGACATGAGACTCGACGGTAGGAGAAAAGATCAGAATATCATACAAGAGAATACAAACACAAACACATTAAGCATGTCCACGTAGCACGTCGTTTACTAACGCATTGGAACACTGCAGTGGGCATTCGTTAGGCCAAATGGCATGACTAAGTACTCATAATGGCCACTAGGAGTATTAAACGCCGTTTTCCATTCGTCCCCCTCTCTGACTCCTGACAAGATGGTAAGCATTCCTCAAATCCAACTTGGTGAAAATCTTAGCGCCTTGTAACAGTTCGAATGCAGAGGAAATCAGAGGGAGGGTGTACCTGTTCTTGATGGTCACAATTGTTCAGACCCCTGTATTCGATACACGGACGTAGTGACTTGTCCTTCTTCTCCACAAAGAAGAATCCAGCTCCCTGCGGGTGAGAAGACGGGCGAATAATCCCAGCAGACAGGGGAGGGCTTCAATTGTATTCTTTCATTGCTTGTGTCTCCGGTTTAGACAGGGAGTAAAGGCGGGCCTTTAGGGGGAGCAGTTCCAGGCAGCAAGTCGATGGCACAGTCATAGGCCCTATAGAGGCGGTAACGAGGTGGCCATCGGCCTTGTTAAAGACTTCCTAAGGTCATGGTAACATGAGGCGAATGCAGACAGATCTGGATAGTCATTTTTCAGATATTTTAACAGGACTAGGTCTTTTCCTCAGGAAAGCAGTTGACACAGTCGTCTCCCCAGGCCTTAATGAGACCAGCGACCCAGTCTATGTGGGGATTATGCTGCAACAACCAGGGCCAGGCCCAGGATAAAGGGTGAAGGCAGGAGTGAAATAAATGAAAACTTAGGGTCTCTGTATGGCCATCAGGAAACTGAATGTTACTGGGTGGTGAGATGGGTAACTCGCCAGAGAAGTCTGCCGTCCAGAGCAGTGGCCACCAGGGGAGTAGCAAGGGGCACAAACTCCAAACCCAGACCTTTGGCTAGGTCGATGTCCATAAGGTTAGCATCAGCACCAGAGTCCACCATCACCACCTGTTTATGAGGGGCACAGAGAGAAGTGATAGTCACTGTGAACATGGGGTGAGAGTGGGTTTTACATAATTGTGTACGGCTCACCAGTACCCTCTCTTTCACTGATGAGCCCCGCCTTTTACCGGACAGCGACTGGCAAAATGTCCCATTTGCCCACAATAGATGCATCGTCCTTCACGAATACGACGCTGCCTCTCCGCTGGAGTCAGGTGAGTACGACCAAGTTGCATGGGTTCTTCGGGTGGGTCAGACGACTCAGAGCCAGAGAGAGGCAGAGACGGCCCAGAGGAAGCGTACCAGGATGGAACAGAGGTGGCGCCTGGATTACCTCGACGGTCTGGGTTGAAACGGAACCTCTCCCTCTCCCTCTCATAAATGCGCTTGTCAATCTTAATTACCAGGGAAATAAGTTCATCCAAATCGTCGGGCAAATCCAAGGGGGCAAGCTGGTCCTTTAATGTACTGGAGAGACCATGTAAAAAGGCATCAATCCGGGCAGAGTGGTTCCACTCACTCTCTGCAGCTAGTGTCCGAAACTCAATGGCGTAATCAGATGCCCTGCGTCTTCCTTGACGCAGACTCACTAGGGCCCTGGCCGCCTCCCGTCCCGGAGATATATGTTGAAAAATCTGGGTGAAAGATTTTATGAACTGGCGGAGATTTAAACACACGGATGAATCACGGCTCCACTCAGCTGTTGCCCAAGCCTCAGCACGACCAGATAGGTGGGATATAATGTAGGCAATCTTGGCACGGTCAGAGGGATAGGTCAATGGCTGGAGCTCAAAGTGAAGATCGCATTGGGTGAGAAAAGCTCTACAGTCCCCAGACTCCCCAGAAAAGCGTGCCGGCTGAGACAAATTTGGTGCAGACACATGTACAGGTTGGTGAGTGGGCTGAGGAGCTGCTTGTAGTGGAGCTGGATTACTCGCCTCTTGAGTAACTTGGATAGCAGCATGTGGGGGAGGGGCCGAGGTAGTGAGGGCTTGTATAGCTTTGGTGAGATTATCAAATTGCTCACCAATTGCAGTCTGAAGATCCGAAAAATTCTGTGAAACACTCTGTAGCTCCTGTTTCACGGCGGCAAGTCCTTGTTCCTGCTGAGAAATCATCTGTCCATGAACACGCCGTGCGTTTTTAAGCTGGTTTGAGTCGGCTGGGTCCATAATGTGGCCAGATTGTACTATCAGAACCACAAAACGGAAGGACTCAAAATGCAACGACTCCAGAAGACTTTTAATACAAAATAAGGCTTGAAGGCTCAAACACAGGGTACAAGACAATCTGGCACAGAAACAAAGAAACAGGGGGTTTAAGTACACTGGAGGGAGTAGGGACCCAGGTGCAACACATTAGGGCGGGGCTGGTAATCACAGGAGTGAAGGCAGACAAGGACCAGGAAGTGAAGAGTACTGCAATGAGACACACAAGGTAAGTACAAAATAAAACAGGAAGCACGGTCTCAGGGCTGGGGTGTGACAGCATCATACAAATATGCAATACATAAACATCACCCCATCCCTTACACACGCACACGTGCGCGCACACACACACCTCTGCTCAGACAGATGTATTGTAAATGTCATCAACATGATAATGACAGAATGGACTGGTACAGCACTAAAGGACTGGACTCTGGTGCAGGCGCTTCCACCGCTCGCTTCAGCCGCTCCCTGGTACTTTTTATTAATGATTTGGCCCTGGTTCTAACCGGGCGAGTCGATACCAGAACAATCTCACATCAGCGAACATCAATTATGATTCCGAAATGAAAAAAGCAGGCAGAAACACAACTGTCTTTATCGAACCATGATTCACTCTGTGTTTAATAAAAGATATACTGTAGATTTGACACATAACACCAACACTTTAGCTGACTTAGAACCACAGACACATGTTCAGTATAAGACCAGATACTTTTGCATTTGATTGAAGACAGACACTCACCAGGCAGAGTTGGCTCATCTCCTGGTGTAGCTGGTGCTAGCTGGTTTTAGCATGTTAGCCGGTGTTAGCTGGTGTTAGCCGGTGTTAGCTGGTGTTAGCCGATGTCCGTAAATGTATACCATTTGGTCAAACCACCTCCAGACTTTTCGGGTCTGCCTCTACTTCTGCTGCTGTGATCTTTCATGTTCGTGGGAATCATTCTGCTCCGTCCTTAGCGCTAGCTCAACAAACACCTTCTGGTTTCTGGTGGAACCATCGAGCTCACGCTGGTGTCCTCTCCTCAAACTGAGGAAGGTGTTGCCCTCATCCAGCGACCAAGGAACTGTTTTCCGTACGGACGTCATGGGTCGAGGCAACGTGTTGTTTGTTATGATATTTGCAACAGCTGAGGCAGCAGCTGCAGAGTGATTGACAACGCATCTGACCAATCAGAATTGACGTTCGCCGACGTCAGATTGTTTTGGCGGCCTGGCTAGTGGAGTGAAGTCGGCCTTTACTATGGGTCAGAACTACATAGGGAATGAATGGCAGCACCACCACCGAGGCGTTTTTGACGCTTGTCGTGTGAAAGCCCAAGAGCCGCACGGAACCAGCCAAAGAGCCGCATGCGGCTCACGAGCCGCGGGTTGGCCACTCCTGTTCTAAATCATTAGAAAGAAGTGTAAAACATATATTTACAAGAACAAATAAATAATGGAAAGGGCAGCCTAAAAAGCAAAATGGGAAAATTATTAAGTAATTTTCGGAGTTGCCAAAATAAAATAAAATTCTTTATTTGTCCCATAGGGGGTCATTCTAAATTTAGTGTTGTGCAAATTCAAAAGGAGAAATAATAGCGCTTATAACATCAAACAGATCTACTCTTTAAGATAATAGATCATATAATAATAATAATAGAATAGAATGAAATAGTCTGGAGCTATAATGTCATTGGATTCAAGGAGCTATAGGTTGAAGGGTCGCTAAGAAGAGGTGTCAGAATAAACAATAGTAATAATAGTTAGACTAGTGAATAATCATCCATCCATCCATCCATTTTCTTCCCCTTAATCCATTTCTGGGTCGGGGGGGGTGGCAGTCAGAGCTGCACCCAGTACACAGAGCACCAGCCCCTCACTGATCCTCCTGCAGGTGGTGAGTCCACAGGAGTGAATAATCAAAATAGTTCTATTGTGAAAATAAGTATCAATAAGGTCAAATTGTTCTAATAATTAGAGTAAAAAGGAATCAAATGGAGTCAGATTTTAGATGTTTCTGTTTTCCACATCTGTAGGATCTAGTGCAGATGTGTTTATAGAGAGTAGTATTAAAATGCAGACATAGAACGACAGGGTTTAACAATTTTTTAAATCTAAAAATAGCTCAAATATAACATTGCTTTTGACGCAGCCTCTGAGCTGCTCCATTGGAGAACAGGTTAAATGTTATTGTTTATTACAAACAGCTGATGTATTTACACATATTAAGTTTGGGACAACTCTTTAAACAGTTATAAGCAGCGGACAGAAGCCATGAATGTGCTTTTGTTTATTAAATAATTAATTTCATAGCCATATAATCGTAGAGAACGTTTTTAAAATAGTTCTCTTCCTCCCGCTCCCTTTCAGGCAACTTGATTTAGATTTATGTCTTTAATATTGGAGAACGACTGTGTTGTTTTTGGAATTGTCTGAAATACAACACATAAAATAGTGATTTGCAGAACAAGAACCAGCCAATGAAAAATCATCTATTGCCAATGCTATTGCTACAACTAGAACCACAACTGTGACCAAATGCAATAAATGTTAAGTGTTCAGTCTGGCAGACAAAAAGGTTGACTTTTAGTCTGGGGGGACTGAGCAACTGTTAAAATGGTTTAAAATGATAAAGTATGAGTATTTTAGCGTTTTGGTAGATGTTAAATAGTAGGAAAAGAGTGGAAATAGATAGATGCTTTCAAAAATAGAGAATTAATTTTAGCCAGTGCTAATATCAAACGGTAAAAGGACCATTTTCCTTCATAATATGTCCAAAAGTATTTACTTCAAAAGTAGATAAAAAGTTCATTACAGTTCATGCACAGTTTTATTGAGATACTTGTCAAATTCACTTGTTTCAAACATAGGTGAATGTTGATAATGCAAGAAGTTCATGAGTGTAGCTTAGATTAATGAGATAGATTAATGAGATAGATTAGAACCAACACAGATTCAAAAACATTTAAAAGCATTTTAATGTATTTGGTTATAGCACAAAAGTAGATAATTAGGTATTTTTTGGGAATTTTAAGAGCTGTCGATTTGTCAGCAACAGATTAGAGAATCAAAATACAGTTGTAGAGGGACTGACCCCAGAGAAACCTGCAAAAAATAGATTAGCTCCTGTAAGGATAATACCAATTTGATTAATGATGTACATTCATCCCAAACTGTCTGAGAGGAGGAAGTGATAGCACTTCCTGGTTCAACAAAATGTATTTGGAAAAATGAGCAAAACCATAGTATAGAGAGATTTATTAGATAAAAACATATGTTTAAGAATATGGCTCAATAAAAGCAAATATGCAAACATATTTGTAAATAAATTAGAATAGTTTTAGTGCATACATTACAGACGAGGTTGATGAAGAATCAGAATGACACAGCAGTAGTCATCAAAATAGTATTGAAGGAATGGTTAAAATGTGGTTTGTTGTGTGTTGTATTCTTTCTGTATTAACTCTTCACAGATATCGAGCCTGAACTAAGCACAAGTATTGATGATAAACGACGATGTGGATGTGACCTATTCTAAGATAGGTCAAAAGAGGGATTGTTGTAGAATTAAAATGTTGTCTACTAATTATTTTGAAAACAGGCCCTCTGAAGAATGTGCACTGGGAAAAGCCCCAAGGACAAGGATTGCAAACAGGAATAAAGAGGGTCAAATGGAGAAACTACAATCAGTCATAGAGATACCAACTTTCAAATCGGGACAAATTATTAACTCCAGAAATAAACATTCTTGTCTCTCTGGCGAGATCAAAGTTCAAACCACCATCTGGCTAATTTCTCTTAAGGCAGACTGGGGATTCACCAACGGCGTTCTGACGCCTCCCAGTGGACAAGGGACGTCAGCACACCCGGAAGCCCCACGTTGGGCGCATATGGATGACTCATCGGAAGTCTCCCTTATGACCTCCCTGAAGGTCTTTTGAACAGTCAGTCATCTGTAAGGATTGACCAATGAGATGCCTTCATTCACAAGGAAACTCCAGCTTGCCTTAGCAACCAGCAACCATTTTAGCAACACTTCTGCCCCTGTTATAGTGACAAGCTAACCCTGTCGGAACAAACATTCATAAGGAAATTGGCTCCAGCTTGCTTATGTTAAAATTGGCTTTTTCCACATCAAGGCTCACGCTGTGGTGATGTCACACTCGGTCAGTCCATTCCTCATGTATACATATGTCTATCTAGTCGCCGCATACACCACATTGGGCTGGAGGTCTCTGTCTGCGGTCCGTCTCTTTACAACGTTTATTTTGGCGTACGTCAGCTTGTTGGACTCCGCGTTCTGCAAGAATTTGTCGCATTCAAATCATGTAAGGAAATAGAAAAACATTAACTTATTAACATTAAAGCTTTGGTACGTAACTTTCCAGTTTTGTTCAAAAACACATGGTTTGTCCAGATAGTCTTTTTAATTATGCTAACGTTAAAGATTTTATACTTGCGTCTTTGTTATGCTAAAGCTATATGGGCTTGTTCACATTAAAGGGTACAAAAGTGTTACAAAAGGCCAAAAATTAACTGATTTAATAATCAGAAAATTCCATTTTCATTTATCCAAATCCCTCTTCTGTCCATTAGAAGTTGCTAGAAGAGACTGTTTTATACATTAGTCAAGTTTCCTAAAGTGGCCCTTTTTATTTTATGTGACAAACGTGATTTTTTGACGGAATGAGCTTGTTACATATTTTCAGATCCACATTTGATTAAGAGATTCTCTCTTTTTACACAGAGTGGCAACAAAGTGATTACTTTCATAAAGTTAACCAATTAAATGTGAAACAAGACCATCTTTTTTTTTTCTCAAGTTTGAGAAAAATTGACGGAAACCATCTTGTCCGTTACACATTTTTCAAGGGTCATTTACATTTTAATAGATTTTTAATGATTCCTTTTTATGTCAAGTGATTTCC